TGTATATTTTATTACATCCTGAGTGTTTGGACAGTATATTAATGTACTCTAAATTCCTCCATGTGAGTAATCAGTGGTATGGGTTGGACACCTTGTCCAGAAAATAACCCAGTATCACCTTCTTTGCCGGTTACATCGCAGAACAATAAATACTATATCTGAACGTTTTATATCTGAGTATTATCTGCCAAGGACATTTGTTTCCCATTTACCTGTAGATGTTTCATGATAAAGGGTATATATGAGGGATACTGACCGCATTTTGACAATCATTTGCCTCCTGGAATGCCGTGAAGATGGGCTGGCTTAGTGCTTTGTAGAATGCGTGTGCGTTGCCGCTGCAGTGTGTGCGTGGTGGAGATGTCGCTGTTGAAAGAACACTACAAGAAGCAGGGTGAAATACTATAAAGATCTATCAAACGTAGCCGCTGCAGTGTGTGCGTGGTGGAGATGTCGCTGTTGAAAGAACACTACAAGAAGCAGGGTGAAATACTATAAAGATCTATCAAACGTAGCCGCTGCAGTGTGTGCGTGGTGGAGATGTCGCTGTTGAAAGAACACTACAAGAATCAGGGTGAAATACTATAAAGATCTATCAAACATTGTCGCTGCAGTGTGTGCGTGGTGGAGATGTCGCTGTTGAAAGAACACTACAAGAATCAGGGTGAAATACTATAAAGATCTATCAAACATTGTCGCTGCAGTGTGTGCGTGGTGGAGATGTCGCTGTTGAAAGAACACTACAAGAATCAGGGTGAAGTACTATAAAGATCTATCAAACATTGTCGCTGCAGTGTGTGCGTGGAGGAGATGTCGCTGCTGTAAGAACACTACAAGAAGCAGGGTAAAATACTATAAAGATCTATCAAACATTGTCGCTGCAGTGTGTGCGTGGAGGAGATGTCGCTGTTGAAAGAACACTACAAGAATCAGGGTGAAATACTATAAAGATCTATCAAACATTGTCGCTGCAGTGTGTGCGTGGAGGAGATGTCGCTGTTGAAAGAACACTACAAGAAGCAGGGTGAAATACTATAAAGATGTATCAAACGTGCCCGCTGTAGTGTGTGCGTGGTGGAGATGTCGCTGCTGAAAGAACACTACAAGAAGCAGGGTAAAATACTATAAAGATCTATCAAACGTTGCAGATGGATTTTGTATAAAAGTTTGAGTAAACAGACGTGCTTCTATGAACAATTTCTTTGAGAGGCCTTTAGAACTTCTTTATTACATTCTTAATATATTCTATATACAGTGGAAGCCCTCTAAACCGGCATTCATTGGGACCGGCAAAACATGCCGGTATAGAGAAATTGTTCCTTTTTCATGTTGATAGTCATCATATTCTTTATTCATCAATAAAGATAACATCGGGAAAAGCACAGAAAAACAAACCAGTCTCATAGCAGTTAAAGACATCTTCAGGCGCAAATCCGTCAATGAAAGTCGGGAGGCGGGACTTAAACTTGTCAACATCACTCTGATCTACACTGGCACTTTCTCCGCTAACTTTGAACACTTTGATGTCGTATCGTGTCTTCCAACGTGCCAGCCAACCATCTGATGCCTTAAACTCGTTGACATTTAATTCTGAAGCAAACTGAATAGCTTCCTCTTTCAAAACAGCGCCAGAAATGGGCATGTTTTTACCGCGGGCAGTCAAAAAACAATCATGCGTCAGTGTTAATTTTGTCAAATTAACTGTTTTTATTCACACGACAATTAATTTATAATACAAGTGACAGGTGTCACTCACCAATTTACCTCACCTACTTACTGGCTAACAAGGATAAGTTGGACCGGCACAGAGAACGCGTTTACGAGAAGTAGGCGGTGCACGGCAATGAGGAAACCCATTTGGTTTGTGAAAGGTAGAGCAGATGTAGGTTAGTGCACGTGCATTACATGACGAATAAATCGATTCCGCGCGTAGCTGCACACGCCTTGCTGATAAGACTCTCAGTCGGTGTAGCAAGTCGCACTACACTTGACCGCGGACAACCTGGGGCCCCTTCGCTAACAATGGCAAGCGCCAGTGGGCGGCACTCATACATGCTATTACGGGTCAATTGTCAGGTCGGTGCTCAACTTATCCTTGTTTGCCAGTAGGCCTAATCTCTTTCTCAATTTCTTTGAGAGGCCTTTACACAACTTCTTTATATATTCTACATATTGTTATCCTTCTGTGCTTTTTCTATGAAGTATTACAGAAACGTAAATTTGAGAGGATTAGATTAATAAAATATACTGTTTTTAAGGCACAGTTATGCTTCGGTTTATATTTTCCATTATTGAGATCTTTCGATACTTTCAGAATAGCATACATGTATTTATATATACCTGCATATTTTAGTGTGTGTGTGCGTGCGTGTGTGTACGCTGTCGACCTGGGTGGGGCGGGGAGCTCTTCAGGATTAAGGTTCTCTACTTTAGGTATAAGAAACTGATTCAGTAGCCAGTCCGAAGCAGATACCCCCGAACACATATAATAGTAATACTTCTATTCATCATAATCATCACGTTGGTAAAGGAAGCGATATGTTACGATTTGTGCTACCTATTATTAGAACACATACACGCACGCACACACGCGAACTACATTCCGGTTTTGAAGTGTAGAAGTACGTTTCAGGTTTAAGATGTATCTTTCCAGGTCCATACTTTCAAGTCTGCCTGACTCTGTGGTTTAAAACGCCGAAGTTGATCTGAGCACGTCATTTACATTTGAGTGAATGTTGTCGATTAAACTGACATCTCTTCCGTGTCGGGTCCAGTGGGGTGTTTTTGAAATAAAAGTACGGCCCCTTGTACAGCGAAAGATGGCCTACCCCTTTCACATGGTAAAAGTCGGTCTCTGACATTGACCTGATTGATCATTAGTTTATTAGTGGCCGGGCCTGATAAAGGGAATACTAGTGAGTGAGTTTAGTTTTACGCCGCTTTTAGCAATATTCCAGCTATATCACGGCGGGGGACACCAGAAATGGGCTTCACATATTGTACCCATGTGGGGAATCGAACCCGGGTCTTCGGCGCTTTAACCACTACGCTACCCCACCGCCCCAAAGGGAATACTAAATCCCGGTGAACTGTTCTACCAAATTATAACACAATAACTTTCTTAAATTTAGTCATAATAATACATTCATGTTACATCTCTTTAAATATTCGTGGAACCATATACATTTTGTACTAGTAACCGAGAATACAGTGCCCGGAAAGTTAGCTGAATAGAAACGAATTTATTAATAAGCACTTATATATTTTCTGCAGAACTGAGCTCTGGATTTGCAAAAGGATTCTTCACTGGTGGTGCTACGTTCTTGTGCAAGTAATATGTCCTGCCATAATACTTATGATCATCACACTAAAACTTCCGATCTATAGCTTTGTGACACTTTGAACAGTTTAACAGTTGCACCACGACGGTATATTGTTGAACCGATGCAGATCTTTGACGTTTATAATCTGTCGGTCATCATCTTGGGTCATACATTCAACGCGCTTGTGTGTTTAATGGAACATAATTGTGAAACCCCAGTGTCAGTATGATGGTTGACAGACTGTATGACAGTAAAGTGAGTCATGGCCAAGGGTGCGGTTGTGTTCAAGCTAGACTCAAAATCAACAATAGCCGTTAAACGTGTGTAACACCAGTGGATGCTACAACAGCCAAGGGACACAACCCCCTCAGCCGTGTAGCGTACACGATGTCATTCGAACTCTGAGGGTGTGGGTTCGAATCCCGGATGGGACTCAACCCAAAATAGTACTAGAATCTGTACTTTACTAAGAAAGTGCAATCCCAAATATAACATATGTTACAAATGTAATTCTTGTTTCAGGTGTTGCTGGAATAACCTGCCATCTTTGGAACGCATATGAAAGATCTTCTGTCAGAAGGAAATATTTTAGTGGAAAATCCAAGGACACACGCCCAGTAGAGGTCAAACATGAAGCTGAGGAGCCCAAGCTGGACCTTCATCCTGACGCCCAGGGCCTCATCTCCGGCCTTCCGTAAGACCCTGAGTGGTGCCTACCCCCTGGGAGCTTGTGGTGCGAGGTGACAGGGGATGCCTGGTCCCGGGGGGAGGGGGTTCCATATAACCCACTGTACGGGCTACCCCCTTGGATGGAGGATGGAGATGAGAGTCATGATAGCCTCAGCTGTGAGGAAGCCTTCAATATAACAGCAGGTGCCCGGTGGGCCGACATTAGTCCTGTGGGGGACCTGGTATTGGAGGCTCCTTACCAGCTGGAGGCGGAGGAGTAGTGTAGGAGGTGTGCAAGGAGGAGAGGGGGTGAAGATACGACACGGTGGAGAAGGTGGGGGTGTAGGTGGGCAGGAGGAGAAGAAGCAGGTGTAGCGGGAATGCCAGAGAGGAGGGGGTGCATGAGGCGTGTAGAAGCAGGATAGGGCAGGGGGGCTGGGGTTGAAGGGGTGGACTGGTTCAGTCCTAGAGAAGCTGGAGCATGACATAGATACAACGGTGAAAAAAATCTTCTTGTTGCCCAGTTGGTATCATCACCATGAATTTTTACTTAAATCTTTAAACATCGTATTTTAGTTACTTCATGTTCATATCGATAAATCATATATATATTTTGTTACTAAATTATTTATCTCTATGAATACATATTTAAAACATATATTGGTTTTTTTGTTACTGAATTTATATGTTATATAAATATTTACATGATATATTTTGTTTCATATTTGATTATGAAAACATGTGAATGACAAATTGGTATGTACAAAATTTTAGTTTTCAAGCATGTTTTTTAATAATCTTATGTACAACATTTATAGATACAAAAATTTCATATATTATTTCCGAATTACAATAAATAATCTCTCAAAGCATGTCATTAACTGTAGTTATACGAACGACATATCCATAAGTGTTATTTTAGGTATATTGTCATGATACATTGAAAAAGATGGAGTATAAAACAAGCAATAAATGGAGTGATGTAAAAACAAAAAACAAAAGTCAACCTGTTAGGATATATTTTATTTCATTCTGTGAAGAACTCTACCACAGATTTCCTGTTGCTATTAACATAATTTACAATTGTATGGAACCTATGAGGCACTACTGTATACAGCAGTAGCCATGATCATGAGTTACCGTAAGTGATTAATGATCCAACATGAATGTAAGTCGACACATCTTCATAACCCATAACTCACGAGAAAATTGTACTTGCCATAGTAGAAACATGAAACTTCGAAAAATGTTTTTATTCCCTTAAATTATTAAAGAAAAAGCCCCAGTTACAATAAAAGAATAGTTTATTAGGAGGAGTACTATGTTTATAAATCCTTATGTTATCAAGTATTTTTGGTATGTTATAAATGTCTTGGTACTAACGACAAACCAAATATTTTCAACCTGTAACTAAGGCCAATTAGGGCATGCTTTGGTTACTCTTCTTTTCAAAAGAGGCAGCTACCAAAAGCTGCTTTTATTCAAGTCAAGAACACCACCACATAAATGTATATCTCCTTTTCTGTATCACCTATTGAGAAGAAATCTTACCAAACAGAAAAGATTAAGATTAAGATTCGTGATAGATTCTTTGCAACACCATGTCAGATCTGACATATGGGTGATTTACTCAACACATCACATTGTCATAGAAATAAATATCTGAATGAAGACAAGTTAAATGTGAAAATCAGAGCACCCTTGGCCAGTTTCTTAATCAGAGGAGGGATGTCCCCAGAGTGTTTTACTAGCAATTACAAAAGGGATCTGCGTGCTAATGTTTCAAATGGATATCAAAAAACTAATTTAAAGAAAACCAATTTTGATAAATCACATCAATATAAACTTGATGAAGGAACAATGGTGATTACCAGACAATTTAGAAAAAATAAATAAAATGTCTCCAGTCCACAAGGACACTCTGCTAGTCACATTTAAAACATGTCAATGATCACTGACTGACCTGAGCACCACAATTTGTCAATGAGTTCATGAAACAAACAGTAACACAAACTATGGAAATCAAGTTTGAGTGCTCTCAACAATCCAAATAATCATATTGAACAAGAAAAAGATCCTTCATGACAAGTAAGGCCTTAGATATTGACAATTGTGAGCAAGTAATTTTTCAAGGTAATGCTGTAGAGAAATAGCCTTCACATGTCAGTAATAATCGGAATTGGACCACTCAAACAGTGCTTGGTCACAGTGTTAAACATTCAATAAATAAGTCTTTTCATGTTCAGCTCCACTTAAGTCCATTTGCTCACAGATGATTATTTTATATGTTAAATAATTCTTATTACTGAAAAAAACTTGCATATCTACGCAAATTGGTGTCAATATAAATATTTCTGTACACATATGTATAGAATCACAACAGGAAGTGAACTCTACAGATTCATATCTTTCATGAGACACAAATACACAGGAAGGTAAGTTCACTCAACTCATCCACTGTCACTGTACTAAGAGTCTTACTGTTTATACAATCCCTGGAGGACATGAAAAGCCCATCCCAGAGCACATATTTACAAAACAACTTGATATGTCCTGCAGCAAGTTAACAAGCATGAAAGACCTTCTGATGAAAGGGCTTCAATTATTAACACTGAAAGACCTGAAAAACTCTGTACAGAATAAATTGTTCAGGACCCAGGTAGAACTGCATTCAGAGGATGACTGAAGATGAATGAGTCGAGTGAATATACATTTTTCATAACCATACCATGCACACCTGTTATGCAGTTTCTGCTTTCTATATACAAAACCAATACAACTACAAAGCTAAATCGCCTCCAGTTCTTTGAGCATTACATAGGAATGGAGAAATTATGGGGAAACAGGTCTATGTTTAATTGAAACAGGGCTGTTTGCAGTGTCACGGTTTACTTCTTTACAACTGGTGTCTCCTTGCAATATTTTGACACGTATCATAATGTTAGAATTTGTCAGTGGATAATTGAAAGTAAAAGATTATCATACAGAATTTTCAAAAAGTCAGAAATATACAAAGTCATGAAGAGTTTTCACAAACAGGTGTTAGATACGTATTCCCAAATTATGCATTTTGGTCACTTTAATGAATACAAAGACTGTTTCTTAGCATGTTATCTCCACCAGCCTGGATTGGTGTCACATCCAATTCAGAAACTATTAACCTACACAGTCAACATACATACCACCATCATTGTACTGGCTAGCTTCTCCCATCTTGCCACAGACAATACCAATTACACCAAACATTTTGCTGGAACCATGGGTGAACATGTTTTTACAAATGACGAAATCATTTTTTTTTAATACTCCAATCTAGTGCAAATTACGTCAAAACTTCACCAACGTGGTTTGGTTACAACAGCCAAGAAATACATACTGGATCTAAAACATTTGGGATGGAAACTGGAATTGATATCATGTGCTCCATGTATCAAACTTACAAATGTCTAAAATAGACAATACAAATCTGAAACATCCTTGTCATCTCAAAAATAGCATACCTCTGCATCAGAAGTGTTTTTCAAATAGTATGAAAAAAACACCAGTGCACACTCAAGTGTGTTTGGAAATATTTCCTGTTTGTAGTTGTTAACGAAAAATTGGAAGCTTACTGAATGTGTACGCATCGACAAAAATAATGTGAAGCAGGTTATTCCTCAATAGTTGAAGAACCTTGCAGAATATACAATCTTTTCATAAACAATCGTAATTGAAAATTCAACATTTTCAGCAGTATGTTATTTCGAAGAATATGATCTTGTGTAGAAAAGTCTACATCTGTCAAATATAAATGTTATTCATAACGCGGAACACAATATTCCTCTGATGTTGAGCATGTTTATACACTGCACAATGGGGACGTGAGAGTTGTCTCAAAACAACCCTGTTGCTTCAAAGCTAGCATGAAAGGTTGTCCTTGACAAGTATTTCTTAAAGCAATATCATTCACTCAAACCAGGGCCCAACATGGCCTCATTGACCAAAAAGGACAATCATTACCCTCTAGAGATGGGAGCAAACTGCAGTACCTGTACTGCTTGTGGAGGAAAGCCCTGATGCACAGAAGAACCTACGTAACTCAGAAACAAACAGGCTCAAATCAATAACAACATCAATAATAATCATAACACTTAAGCTAATGCTTTCAACCTGAAAATCTGTCATGATCAAACAAAAAAAGAAGAAAAAAGTCATTTCCCACATAATGAATGCTCTTACCTGAAAACCTAGGAAATGAAGTTTGCAACATGGGCTGTTTAATAAAAGTGAATTCTTCAATCAAGAGAAGGTACACAGACTGGACCAATTGGATGTAGGAAATGTTGCTGCTGAAACAATACAAATCCAGCACAATGCTGACACAACTAAATTATTTCATCCTTCTGCTCAAGATTCCACCATTTAAATTTAACATGATCTACTGAATTTCCTGTTGTGTGTTGAAACAAGGAAATATGGCAAAAATGTACAATTGCAACAATATACAGAAGATATCACAAGACCTATTTTTCTATACATACAAAACACACAGCTCATATGGTTCATCCCTTACACAAGGACTTGTTATCAAATTATCAAAGAGTATTTCATAGAAAAGCAATATATTACAAAGAAGACTTGACATCCTAACACCTGTCATTTAACCAAAATTATGATCTAAACGCTTGCCGCTATTTACTGTAAGCTCAAAGCCAAAAACCTCGAGTTGTATGCAAAACCCTGTGTGAAAAAAAAAACCATCAAAAAGAATTAAAAATAAAACTCCTTAGAAACTTTGGATGGATTTGAAACTATAAATGATGTTGTCATGAACCTGCATATTGATGCATTTGGATTTTGCGTTCACATAGAATCACTATGGTCCAATGTTTTGGCATATTCCTGTAAGATGGTGCAGGCCACTTCTAAGCTACATTGCTAATCAGCATGGCCTGCCAAGAAAGAAAGCTGCATCAACAGCAAAAGCAAACAGTGACCATTGGTAATTGGGGAAAAGAAGCATATTCTATCATGAAAATATCTTCTTTGAAAGCTTCAATAGTACAAAGAACCCTTAATTGAACAAGCGATCTTTGACATCAAGCAGAGAAGCAGGTTAAAATTATGTCCAATTGGCATATAAAACACGGACATTTTTTAAGTTATTTTCATGAAGAAGATTACTCGAGCCCCTACCCTGTTAGCACTCCTGAGAGGATAATGATAAAGATTTGACACTTGGTCACATTTCAAAACACGAATTCCGCAGAAACTATCCTGAATCTCAATGTTCTGTCAATATCTGAGAACGATAACATGCTGATATTGATACTATGTTGTTCGATGTTGATGAATAATATTCAATTATGCAAATGGTTATTAATGAGATCTATAACTATTGAATAATACAGTTATCGCCCTAGCTATATTTCATGGCTTATCTAGGAACACAAACGGTTCAAAAGGGTTTCTGTGTGAAAAGGAAGAAAAATGAACTGAACGCTATGTTCAAATATGAAAATAACAAGTCAAATCAAAGTCTAGTATGAAAATGTCTTAACAAAATGTACTCGTAACTTTTGATGATTTAACTTGAAGATTCTGGAGATTTTAGTTTGTCTTGAGCACTAGAGTATATTGTAAACGCCTGAAATAAATAACTGCCACCTCTTGGTGTCTTGTCTTGGCAGTACAGTTAACACAGAAAACGGAAGCCTTCAATTTGCCAGCTGACTCCATATCACAAAACATACGTACACATTATCACAATACAGAAGATGGTAGGCAAGATCATCCAGTTCTCTGCAATGTAGAAATCCAGGGGAGTCACATCCATGCATACTGGAAACATCAGATCACTCCTGAAGGTGTGTGTTACTACTAATTTATCAGGCCAAAACAAGAAAAACAAATAACAAATTTGGAGAACAATCCAACAGATAAATGAAAGCTACTTCATTGTAAGTTAAATGGCAAATGTGTTTTTGAAAGGCGATTCCAGAAATCAAATCATGAATACAAAAACATTCAAGGTCAAATGGTCGTCATATTGATTGTGAGCTAGCTAGATACTGATACTCCTTGCATTCATCTGTCTTGGCCAGGTTTGTCTGTACCAGTCAACAACGATGTGCTGCACACCACACCTGGACTTCACATCACCATCTTCATTCCGAGTCCTGAACACTCGTGTCCTCCAACAGGGGGCACTGCCTCCCACAGTAACATCTTTATTTGAGCATTACTTAGAATGACAGGACACCATGGACACAAGTCCTACTCCAGGACTGCTCACGGCTGATCAACTTAACACCAACGTTTGAAAATATTTCACTGTCAAGATTACAGTTAACGTCCCGAGAAATATTGAAAAAGTTCCTGAATAAAATCAAATGCCTATTTTCTTCCAGTTGAAACATGAAAAATAAAGAAGTTCATATATTTCAGAATACTGTTTGGACAGAATCTTCATTCTTAGGATACTGATACAAACTGACATCAGATTTTTCACCGTAATGACAATTTCAGTGACAGCTGGATTTGCACAAGACACAAGTGGCTATGTAGGGATTGTCAAGTAGGCATTTCACTGAGTGCACTATACATATTTGGTATACTTGAGGGAAAGACTGATACCTAAGTGTGTAAAACGTCTACACAGTGCCCCTGTTACAGTAATCTCCTACATATATACAGTGTTTGCTCTAGAGGAACAATTTTCAAGTATTGGCCCATAAATGTTACATACTGCCATGGAAATATTTCAACCAATCAGCATGGGATGTAACAAACGACTTTTATTCAGCTTCTACAGTAAATACTGATTAAGAAACTTATGGTTGGCAGAGTAATCCTGTGTATAATGCACACAGGTACATCACAGCAACACATCACTTATAAAGCCATTGCAATATTCTTGTGCCAATGTGGTGTTATCACTGCTCATATGAATGGTGCGCCTCTTCTACTTTATCAATGTTTTCAACAGCTTACCAGATTCTTACTGGCTTGGGCCTATACCAGACAGACTGCTACAAATGATCACAAGGAGAGCAATATCAACATATAGATCATATTCACTTTTTATTGAAGGAGCAATATCTAAGACTTGATGTCATTTACTTTTGTAAGTATTCGAAAATTTGAAGCATGAGTTTTTCAAAAGAGAATCACAATAACAGCTTGGTGTTACGTTTTATTTTGTTTGGGTACTTTTTATTACAAATAATGAATTCAATATTTTCCACTAAATTAAAAAACATGTATCCTAAGGTAAGTTGTTATAAACAGGTATTTATAAAGTAATAAATAAGCCAACTATCAGTTTGTTTTACAAAAGTATTTGTAACTTGTGTTCTCAGAAAGCAGGTCTCTCATTTCTCCACTGAATGTGTCAGACACGATCCATGATGTATTCTGGTGGCATGAAAAGACCACTTCAAAGTGTGACCAAGGTTTGGGTTGTTACAGCCAGGCTGGATATGAGATACACATCCAGAGTTTGGGCCAGCACCTACAACACTAGGCCCTAGTTGAGGATATATACCCATTTCCCACCTGGCTGTACTTGTCACAGTTCTGAGAGGATGGAATGGTGCATTGATATGAGTGGATCAGATTAAATAGTCGTCAATTTTCCTTGATATTTTATCATGGATATCAAGAAAAAAACATGTTTCAAGCATTGTACAAAGCGATCTGAAGCATCAGGCCTTCTTTCATCTCATGTTTGATGCGGTATGTGATACAGAATGACATTTCCCATGGTAGCACATCCTGGTGCTACCACAACGATTACAATGAAATTATACAAAAGACTTCAAAAACAAGTACCTACCATCTTCCCCTACATCTATGATCATACTAAATAAGTAATTTACAATAAAAATGTATACACAGTAGGGGTGAGGGAAGTGCAGTATATGATTCTCTGTACATTTTGTACACATTATACAAAATAAAAACAATAGTCTCTCATTCAGCTTCTTGCCACAAAGCTTAGTGTCCAGTAGTAAACACGGTAGTTACCTATGAAGTGATCACCTTTGTGTCTGGTGTAGCAAAATACATGTATTTCAGTCACCAAGTAGTCCATGCACCGAGACATCGACCCGGCACGTTCATACAACATTAAAGTTTCAGTTCATTGGCAATTTTGGATGCAATGTTCTTAAAGCCTATTGATGTGCCAGAGATCCGTTTGAAGCGCACTCCATTGAGGGAGAGCCGTGGGAGTTTACAAACTTCCATCTCCCATTGCACCAGACTGTCCGTGTTCGGATCCCCATGAACACAAAGTAACAGAAACTTTTCCCTTTGTTCATAGTCGCAATTGTTTGCATCCAGTACCTTCCTAATCTCCTTCATCATATCATTAGGATCCATGGAACTCGTCGTTTTCATACTCCACGTAAATCGCAACGACCTTGGCTTCACTGCCTCACCCTCCCTTGTCTCATTCACCGACCTGCGGAACAATTTGCTGAAAATTAGAAAAACAACCAAAAACACAATTAATGGCCAACCCTCTGTCACAGAGTCTGAGCTGAAGATTTTCATCCAGTAGGTAGAAACGTTTGTAAGTCTAGTAGTTGTATATCCCAGCAGCTGCACAAACCAATCAAGACAAAGGAGACACGATAGATATGGGTTATCTAGTGTCTGGGGGGCAAACAGGCAGGTAGATGGTCATCTACTAGGGGCCACAACATGCAACAGAGAACATGCTTGCGGAGACATAGGTGCATGCAACTGCGGTCTAGTAGGAGATGATGGTTACACATACGTCATAAATGATTATTTATATTTTTGTAAAAGTGTAAAAAAATTTGTTGATATAATTAAACAAAATTCATGAGATTCATAGCATTTTTTAGTGAATATGCGAGATAGCAGCATATGTATTCTGTTGAAAACAGAGAGCTTAAGTCTACTATTTTCAGTATTACTTTTACACTAAGACCATGTCTAGCTATTAAAATACCTTAACTACGCAAAAGCATGACTAAGCTTTTAGGTCCAAGGAAAGAGGACTCTTTGAAACCTTGTTAAATTTCTTATTATAACTGGAATGTACGTTTAAGAACATCAACCAAAATAATTCATTTCATGAGAATCTATTTCAATTAGAAAAATATTCAGTCCACAAGGTTTCGAAAATATTTAAAACAAATATATAGATTACAATACCTTCTGATCAAATAATTTAGGAAAATCGTGCGAACATAGTTCAAGAAAAACATACTCAAAACAGACCCATGGATGTTAGAAACAATATTGCTTATTTTATCAGCTTACCATAATGTACCAATCACGAGCATTAATGGTCCATGGAATTTAATTAAAAAATGGAGTATTTTTATAGCATTCAGAAATAATCTTTCCCATATTTCAATTCAGACAAATTTCTGTAAAGAAGCTCCCTAAAAATGTCAAATCAAGAACAGAAAACAAGAAGATTTAAAAGAAAAAAAAGGTGATCTGTGTGATACATGCCAGAGTCTCATGCTATTAAAATCATATATGTTGACTAGAGAAGGCCTGCAGATTCTTGAAGTAATGGTTGAAGAGAGCAAGAGATGAGGATGAAGATAGAGACTTCTTGCAAATAAGGTGAAATTGATCAAATGTCTTAGCATGAAAATGGAGTGGCAAAAATAAAGTTTATTTTGGAAGCCTGGGTCAAAATGCTATGTCCATGCACAGCCGGAGAGCTCCTTTTAGAGTTTCCAGAATGACTGATGATGCAGGTGAATCAGGATCTGCACATTCAAACAGTCACAAGCAGCCAAATAATAGAAATACAGGAACTGCTGAGATACAACTGTTTCAAGAGATTTGAAATTCCCCTCAAAAACGTGACATATTCCTAGTTCTCCCCGGTTTAACTCGGTGAATGGAGGGTTGACGTCAAAGAAGTTATTAACAGAGAGGTGAGGACAGAATAATATGGTAGAAGCAGCTTCATGCGTATACCTTACCTCTTCAAGTTATCTAGGTATAGGTTGCCTTACACAAGACAATGGTAGAAACTATACTCCCTTCCTGGCTTTAGTGCTGGAACAACTGACTTCAGTATGCAAAACAACTTTCACATCAAACCATGCTTCGGTTGGAAATAAAACACCAAACAAATACCATGCAGTTTGGAAATAATCATTGCTTTCTATCAAAACTGAAAAGTCTCAAAAGATGTTCATTGCTTTGATTGAAACAGAACACTCAAATGGTTTTCACAGAATTAGATATTCAGAATCACAGCCAAGGAGGGACAAATATAGAAACTACTACGTGCCCTGGGACGAGACCTGGACAATACTCTAGTGGACATGTATCATGAACACAGAGGTTGATTCAACTGAAATGATGTAACATTCTAGTTTGGGTTTTATTGCATTTACCCATGCCAACTGCACAAAGGTAGTGCTTAAACCTGAAAGAAAATGTTATTAAGTTCAGTGTTTTTTCTTCTCAAATCTCTCATCACTTCATATTTACCAAACAAATTGTCTTTCAAAAGTGAAATACAACTTTTGTTTTACCGAAACATTTGGCAATATATTCCAAAATGAGAAATTGTGAGACTTCCCACAGAACATCTTGAATGATAATGGAACAGCGAACATGTACATTTTTATTCATCAGGGGAAAATGTTGCTCTACCAACAAAACCCAAACCAGATCTATCTGAATAGAAAATGACACACATATTGGGAAACATCTGTGACTGAAATATTAACTTTCATGAAACATTTAGAATAGAAAAACAATCAAAATATTTCTGATACAACTCTTTTTCACGGATGCTTTCCCAATATTCATTAATGAATGAGCAATGATTTTATGTACTCTTCTTCTACTTGTCAGCTCAGGTCTAGGTGATCTACACAAGCCTGTTTCTACAGGACAACATGCATGTGTTAGAAAATACACAAAGTGTGTGAGATGTCAAGAAGTGGTAGCAATACATGGTCATGGTTACAGCTACACAGTTAGTACATATATTCATCAATAGTACACAACCTGAATCACATCATGAAATGGTAAAATTTCTCCTTGATGATATAGGTTTTTACATTTGTTTTGTTAACATTTCAAATATCCATTTTTTTGTTGTCTCAAAATGAGAAGAAGATAAAACTTCCTACCTTTTGAAATTGAACAAACATTTGAAAGTTGCTCACAAAATTTTTTTTTTAAGTTTATAACAAATTGTAAGTCACTTTTGAGATATATGAATCGTAAGACACTGGAAACAATGCAAGAAATACTGATAAATAATTTCTGCTAAATGTTATAGAGGAGAATGTGAGAGATGTGAAACATGATCAGCAAAAGGAAAGCGTATGAACATGAAAACTTGGTATGAAATGGACAACACAATCTTGAAAATCCAATACCATGAGAAAAATCGTGCAAAATAAAGGAGATCTTTGAAAGCAAGATACCAAGGAGAATGAATGTGAGGTAGATGAAAGACGCTGTAGGACAGTGAAGAGACTGACTTGCAATGAAGCCCAGTATGTTAGCTGGAGCAGTAAGGGAAAGAAATAGCACTGAAATTTGGGAGTTCTTCCCAGAGAGAAGAGATACAACAACAGCACACAAGTACATCTACTTCTTGCTTCAGACATAAGCAGTGTTATATTCAAGCTTTTCCACCTTGTCGTGGGTTTTAATCCATTACATTAGTCAATCATGTCTTCAACTAACATAATGATAGGCAATGGTATTAATATTTTACATATTGGGTTAGTTATGTGTTGAAGGATGTGGTTTTGTTGCTAATTTGCCTGTTAATATCTCACACAAAAATATTACGATGAAACTGATATATGGATGACTTAATGTTAAGTTGCCGACATGATATTCCCTTAATGTTATCACTAATACACAATGATTCTTTTCACATAAGAGCCCTTAAAACAGGAAATGAGAATTTTGATTTTTGTCTGATATGATTGTAGATGGTCCTCTCTTAATTCAAGTTGACTACAATAATGCATCAAGGGCCTTGACATGGTCAGCATTCACAAACACACACCTAAGGCCAAGGGAATCTTAAGATTCATACTTAAAAATAGACTTAAGGTGCACTCAGAGAGGTGAACAGGAGCCCATTTCACAAAGCCGTTCCTCCTTTTTCGACTGTTGTTATTCTATATTGAATGTTTAGAGTTTGGACAATATCCGTACTAAAGTTGCTACATGGCCTGGGACATATACAGATTCAGGGGCCTAGCTTAAAGAATAAAGTTTATCTTTTTAAATTTATCTCTCAAAGTAGTGGTAAACTTGGAGTTTCATTTGAGCGTAATGAAATTAATGCTATATAATGCTATATAAACACTGACATTACGCAGTAATTATTCTCTAAAACAGTAACAGAAGGTGGGACGGTATGAAAAGTTGTCAAGAGGATCACTGGTGTAGAAAATGTCCTGTCTTAAACCCTCAAGTTCTGCAAGTAACTGTGATCCAAACATTTTCGTTCAATTACTTTTCCTTCCATTTCCCTAGCGAAACAGAAATAAATTCCACTATAAAATTATTCAAATCCCACTTATTTTGATGGTTTGTGAATGGACTCGAGGATTAACATGTGCAAATGGCAAAAGAAGCAATATGAAATAAATGGAAGATGTGACTTTTGGGCCATGATTCTCACCACGTGGTTATCTGTTCTATCTGCTTGTAAACCGACCAATCAACACGTACAACTGATGGCCGGTTGGCATTCACTTACATGTACTTTGTAGCGGGGTTCCGTTTCTGACGAACGCTAGTGGGTTCCAGCTCTGGTTGCCCGTCAGGTCTGAATTGTGATCAAATCATGCAACACATATTACTTGACTGCCAACATAGCCCCAGCCAGCTGCCCTAAACTCCTTATCCATCCGTCAGGATGTATACACCTTCAGACAAAAAGTAGTTACCAAAAAATAAGTTCCCTTCTTCAAAGCTTTTTCTGAAGAAATGTCTAGGTATTTGAAATTAAATAGTTTTCTGAACCGATTCCTTGTTTCTTATAGAACATCAGCTGAATTGTTTAATTTCCTTAAAAAGTCGTCACACACAAATACGTTTCATTCCTTGAGTTTAATATCCCGCATAGTGAAAGGTTCAGAGAGTTTTGTGCAGGGTGGTTTAGTTCACAAAGATGTCTCTTGTCAGGCAAGAAGAGGTTCACAAGGATCAGTCAGGGTCCCAGTAGCCAATCATCTTGAACCAGCATCTCCATATCCCTTCACAATCTTAAAGCATTCTGTACTTATGTAATGGCAACCATATTTCTTCACAGAATGTTTCAAGCTTCAGTTATTCATATAAACAGACAAATGCCTTGTATACCACTATAAAATAACTGAAGGTTTCACTGTCTGTAATTCCACTATGTAAGGTTGCCTTGTGTTCTTAAGTAAGTACGAATGCTCTATGGATAGTTGTGTGGAAAAAGGCAGCTGACAAGTAACCCTGATTTTCTTGCCTGTGCAGAGATATATGCATGGGGGCAGAAAGTATGAGGGTTAACCTTGGCTGCAGGTGTGTGTCCTTACATAAAGACTGCTGGATAACAAGATCACTGTTGGTATTGATCAGGAAGTTGATCAGGAAGTTGCATTACCTTATTTCTTCAAAGTTTCTGTTTCTGAAGCAAATGTCTGTATGGTGCTCTAAAGGTCTTGCGAATGTTACCATAAATACAGAGACAATATTATGCCAATTCAAACACTGGTTACAGCTTGTGGCAATATAATTGGACATTTATTTTTAGTGTGGTCGTAACACATGAATGGTTGCGAATAGGCCCAGGGTATATATCGTAACGGAATGGAGATACAAGATTATGGATATTATGGGAAACCGCAGAAGAAAATCTTGATACAAATTTGAATCGGAATATGACAGAACTGCTCTGACATCTGCCATCCCCATGCTGACAAAATAATTTCTCACAAATGAGAGAATATGCATCACCCTGAGCTTATTGTTTGTTTATCCAGCATTCTTTGAGTAGAAACTCCCAGCAAATCATGCACCATAGTCAAGGAAGGTTACCTCCTCCAAAAGTGCACTTTGTATTGGTGGAGAGATTAGTGATTCACAAGCAACTGGCCAAACTTCCATGCAACATAGTAACAAGATGGAACGACTAACTAACTTGGAAAGCCTTAACGCCCAGAACACAGTCACACCCACTCTAGTGGCTTGTCATGTAGGATAGGACACAGGTCAACATTACATTGTTCTAACCGACAGACCTATGCCAAAAGTCATACAGTGTGATCCCATTGTTACGAAGGAAAACCTGCAAAAGGTTATGTAAATGGTTAAATGGGGAGATCAAAGAAGCCATTACAAAACAGACAGGAGAATGGGTGGGGACCATGCCCGTGAAGTAATTCTTCCACCATTGGGACCTACCTTCTACTGAACTGTGATTTTATCCGGTTGAAGAAAGATCCCCTCGCACTTGAAGGACCCATTGCCGTTGTGTCCTGTGAATGTGTGGGCATTGCTCCTGGGCCGTTGTATGGGTTCACATATTGCCGCCTATCTTTTCCATGGAATGTGTTACGAGCATTCGTGCCTCGTTGCAAGTTGGGCTTGTTACCCCCTGACATAGCTAAGGACTTCCCAGGTGCTGTCCTGTCAAAAGGAAAACCCCTGTAAACCAATGAATGTGCGGACAGTTACAACACGCAGTGCACACATGCACACAGGACAAAGCAAACATGGGTAGATGGTACTAGAGGAAACACAGGCCACTGCCCGTACTACATACAGTTGTGAAAATACATTGGCACAATACACACTAGGTCTATTATCTAAGTGCTACTTTCTCTACTATATGTAAAAACACGGACACTACAGAATGTGAATAAATCACTAGCATCAATACAATATAAAATCTAGGTGCTACTATGTGTCTCAAACAAAGGATGAGGTGACATTAGTACAATATCTACCACACATATTACATGATTGATTGATGGGAGGTGTCAGTAGTTTCACAGCTGATAAATGTTCAGGCATTACTATCACAAGAGAAGAGTTTTTTTTAACAGTCACAACAAATGACAAGATATAAAAGTAATTAAATTAGCAAGTGTGCATTGGTTGAGTGAAGTATATTCTGTCCACATCTCCTTCACATAACACAGCACTGACATTTACAAGATGTTACCATGACAACACTTTTGCAGATATCAGTCTTGACAAACTGGCTGCTTCATACATTTATTTAGGAGGGAAAAAAAGAAGAAAAGATATCAAGTCTCTAGTCATCCCTGTCCTCATATAAATGACTTGTTTGGCCGTGTCTATTGGAGATGACATCTACATCTACTACTAAAGCTAGCTCACCGACTATACTGTTAGTGGGTTGGACCTAGGGTGTAACACTGTCAGGGCACAAACAACACAGGTTTACACAAGGGAATGAGTGAACAACTGGCTGCAGTCATATTTCACCAATATCAACCTTTATTACCATACAGACTAGCGGCTGAGGGCAGGTGGAGAGATTCAGGGTACGGTGACACAATTCACATATAACTACTCTCACATCCTACTGTCCACATTAGTCATCTCGTTTGTTAGTTGGACCTTTACTAATCTGTATCTGAGTTAACAGATTGAGATGGATGTACACCTGTGAAGTGTATCAAGTTCCATATTATACCATGACGATCATTAATCGTGAAGGTTCTCGTGTAAGTATCCTGCCACCAACACTGGGAACATGCAGACAAGACAGAACGTAGTCTTACGTCGGCCGTAATGGATCATTATCACCGAGGGGAGGCAGGTCAGTAACCCGAGATGACTGAGAAATGCTGGCAGATTTCACATGACCCTTTGGCCGAGCAGAGGGAACATCAGGTGCCGGCGAGGTGGAGTTTGGAAGATGGCTGCAAAACAGAGGGTTAATCTTTCAGTTGCAGTTAGTTAGGATCATGATATCAAGTGACTGCAAGGTAGTTAGTATGTGTACAGGAAAACCACACATCTGCAGATTGCTTCAACACAGAAATTTGAAAATCATAGTTATATCTCTATAGTTATAGAGAGCAAAACAGCTGAGGAAGGGGAGTGTCATCCCCAATGATTCGTGGGTATGTATACACTATGTTCCTGAACCATCATGCATACACATGGCCACTTTGTGGTGTAGCCACTATTTCAAGCCATCTAATCAAGCGACGAATTGGTTCCACCACATATGGGCGAATGTACACATGGGAGATCATGGAACAGTGTAATTAGTACACACACGAAATACTATTTTGGAACCTCTACATAATGACCCACTTTTTTCAAAAGAGCCAGATTATTCTTCATATCCCAACAAGAACTCAATCTGCAGATGATGCAATTTCACAAACACACTCTGTTCACCTTCAGTCTTCACACCGAACATGGTCACGGACAAATCACACGGGACTGTACAAGGGGAGGTGGTTAGGGGGTGGAGGAAAGGGTGTAAATAAAACCAAACACTAAATAAGGAGTGTCCTAACCCTTAATAGAGAAAAGTAGCAAGGGTTAGTGCAATAGGACCATGCGTGGCGGTGAATAGACATTTTACCTTGACGTGGACTCAGCATCATTAGGCCTCTTCCTCCTTTGACTGGAAAAGTCAAAAAGATATGTCGGAACCAAGCATGCGTTCTACATAGATCTTCAGGTATCAGCCTATGCATGCTGAGAACTCATTCAGTAGCCCTTATACATTGGATATCATCAAGGTCTATGAAAACAGTCCATTTTGTTCATAATTTCCTGAGAATGGAGTCTGTTAGTTCTGGACATCTTAACATCATGCTGTGTAGACAGTGGAAACCTACTCGGTTCAGTCACTAGTCCCCGTGATATGTACAGGATATACCTCCACTTCAGGGAGTCCCAGGTCACCCTTAGTATCCAGGGTGCTTTATCGGAGAAATATGTAAGAATAATTTTCCCACAAAAATTGGTTTCGGAAACACTGTCTTATCCCATCACAAACTTGGCACAGGATTTTTCTCTCTTCAGCTTAAAATTAACTACAAATCAATTTCTTTTTGGGGAATCTGCTATTTTAAAGCACATTTACTTGCACATTTAGACCTTTAGATTTTTTCCTAGGAATCAAGACATTAAGTAGGGAATTTATCCCATTATAAGGTGCTCCAAGTTGTATCGAGTCTTTTGGCAACTAGACCATTTCCAGTGCCACACTACCTAGCTGAAAACTTGCGAAAGAATATTGTGATTCTTGACTCTGTAAGACAAAACTATTATGCAACTTTAGCACCCTTAGCTCAAACAGAAGGATGGAATTACTTCTCCCATAATCATCGCCTCCCATACTCCTGTGGTCAAGGGAAGGGTGGGGGATCTATGAAGGGACACAAAAGGGGGTGTGGTGTTTCAAGTCAAGTGACTCAATGTGGGAAAAAAGTTAGGTTCATCTCAAACAGTGCTTGCTGGAACATTGCAAGTTGTGTGCATAACAGTGTTAGACTGACAAACTGTTAGTCTGGGATTTTGGATTCCTGCTGTTTCATACATCATGAACTGAACCTTCTGTCACAGCAGTGTCATAGACAAACATTGTCCATGTTCCATAACTTACTCCAATCGTTTAAAGAGCTGAAGTTTTAAACATGCATGGAAAATGGCTTATCAGAAACATGCATCTTCATAAGGCAGCATACGTAGTAATGAGAAAACAGGCAGAAATATTCATCTCATCCATGCCATTCTATGCTTGCTATATAAGATTACTACCTGCTCCTTGAAGCAAATGAAATGACTAGTGAACAGGTAGAGCACGTCCACTATGACACAATACTTGTCACTTTTTGCACCTGTCAGCAATATTCCAGCTACAGCAGTCACAGCTCACAAACATGATGTTTTGAGCAATGCCCACAATGCCAGGACATCAAGCTTGTGACGGAGCCTGGCTTTCATTTCTAGTCTCCTGTCACAAAAGACAAGAGAGCACAGAGGAGCAATTTTAGCCTCCGGCCATGTGTTGTATGGCAATCCACTCGATCAGGGTACACAACATGCTATCAACCAATTCACCATTATGTCAACCATTAGCTGTGTTGTTATTCTGGGTAAGAACCGGGGTCTCCAGGTTACTTTCACGATTGGTTATTATATTAAATAAAAAGGAAGCTTACAACTAATCATTAGTCTTTTTCAGGAAAATGTCTAACTGAAATGACAGGTCATCATTGTTAAACACGACTATCCTTATGTTTCCTAACATAAACATGATGAGGGTCGATGTCTTGTCTTAACTGGAGCGAAACACATGCATGTAGTAACACCATAATGACAGGTAGAGCAATGGTGTCTTTCGAAGATGTCAGGTAGTGGGTAAAAGGAAAGGGCTACCCGGGGGCTCAAGTTATGGACAGAAGACTGGACATGACATACCACAAGACGCTTGCACACTTCAACAGGACACCAGGACCAAATGTCCCAAACAACATGCTACTCAGATCATCATCATCATCATCATCATCATCATCATCATCATCAATAAAACCACTGCCTATTCCAAACCCTGTGATCACAACATACTGGATCAAAGGAATGAATGCATGGTGGTCTTGGCAGTGTTTCCTAGTGTGTAGAACAACAATTAAACATGAAGTAGTAGGAAATTGGGGTGGTTTGCAGCACATATATTTATTTAAACATTTTAAACATTAAGTGGAGAGAATAGTAACCATTTCAAGACATGTCAGAAAATTGAATACTACACACCACTACATATATTTTATCTGAGATGGAGAAAAATTTATCATTTATGTTAGGTTTCCTCAGTTCAAAGATCATTCACAGCATTTTCAAAATTCACATTTTTTAAGTTTCAAGTCAATGTAAATTTGGAAGGTAAAAAAACCCCTCGATATACACAAAACTTTAAAACCCACCATGCATCATCAATTCAACAGGATTTTGGCCAATCCTAACTCCATACTTACTGCTGGTCAGATTACTCAACTACACTCATATCAGGTGACGATGATAGTCATAGGTAGAGGTCAATGTATCACTCACCTGCGGATGTCTTGCCCATTTGTTGCTTTTGTCTTGACAGGTGTGTTGTCACCTGGGCTAAAGGTGCTCCGACGCGGAATGCTCGGGTTTTGGGAAATGACGCTGTTCTTGGGTGTAGATGTACTGGAAGTGTGGGGAGTTTTCCTTGGCACTGTTGCACGACCTGGGCTTGGAGCAGCTATCTGGAGACGCCAACAAAATGATTCGATCTTTCAATCTGGCTACCTCATACCTAATGGCTCTCACACTGTTATTATTGAGAAACGTCTTGGCAACAAAAACAAGTTTATTATCAACAATAGTTTGTTAAATCCTGCAGTCAGCAATATTCCAGCTGTAAGACAGTTCCTGTAAATAATTAGGTCTGGACCACACAAACCAGTGATTTATATGAGCATTTGTTTGTTGTTAAATATTGCAGTCACGATGTTCTGGCTATATCAAAGCATCCTGTACATCATCAGGTTTGTAGGAGACAAAACACTACTGAACGTAACACTTCAAAGGGTTACTACAATTAATTGAGGACTGATAATTCAAACAGACATTTGTTCACACAGCCTATTCTAATGCTTGTATTATGATTTAGAATTACAAAAAAATAATCAATTTAGCAGTATTTGCATTAAAGAAACAAGATTAATTTTCACCTCGTGGTTTGAGATGCTGGAATGCGGACAACCTACCTTGGGCGACTCGACTGTCACAGAGCCACCGGATGGTGTTTTCATCCTGGCTGTTAATGTGCTTTCTTTTGTCGTTGACGAGGTGTGATCCACTGTGTTCTGACGACGAGACGATGATGTAGATTGTGCTGCAGATGTGGTGCCTGCAAGAGTTGTTGAATACATGCAATACTGATACCAGTCACAAGTAGGATAGTCAACAGTGAAGAGAGAGAGAGAGAGAGAGAGAGGGAAGATATAGACTATGTCAGAGAACTACACTTACTTTGTAAGGACGAGAATATTAAATGTATTTCAATTTTGTTTTAACTGAAATTTATTATTATATACTACTCACACTTTGCTAAAGATCACAAAACTTCGCAACTTTACTTAAATGTAGATTAATAATTTGAAATTGTATCCATTTAAAACTGGATAAATAATGATATGGTAACACATGTTTAACAGCCACTTTAAGCTAACAGTATGCACTTGATACATGAGTAACCATAAAAATGGTTTTCATGGCACCAATCAACCATTTTGCAAATCATGGAACGAGTCCTTGACGAGTACACACCTGTCAATAGCAGGTATGGGATCCACAAGATACAATGACATACTCAAACCTAGGCTCCATGCTTAAAATAAGCTTAGATGTTTAAACCAAATGTGATGCCACATCACAGTTTTCTGTTGAATCAATGATTTGATCCTTAGCAAATTGTGAATAGTATATTATTTTATGTCTTTAAAACTGTTCAGTAATCCAATAAGAATTCTTTCAAAAGATAAATCTGAATTTGTTTTTAAAATGCACTGGCTAATATACAGTTTCTTCCAAACACATTTTATCCTGCATTTTCACAAATGCAAAGCATTCAGAGGTTGGCATAATGGAATACAACCTTGGCATGTAAGTCTTCTTAAAAAGGTATATCATAATATCAGTCTAACATATTTAACGCTTAATGTAAGACTTGGTTGTCACGACTGGTTGATGTGACGTAATATTTTAACTCCCTCACTTAAAACATGCTCAAGACTCTATTGCAAGAATAGTAGTGTGTGTGTTCATTATTCATAAGAATAGAAAATTCTTTTCACCTGATTCCTAAAGAAAATGTACTTGCAACACCAAAGAACATGCCCAAACACCACTATCACTATAATCAACTGACAGTGCTTGCATTCACATCATCAATGAAAAGGTCACAGGACAAAGTCTACATATTCATTACGGGAAACGATATTCAAGAGGTATTAGACTATGACAATAAAACTGTGAAATTTAAAAAAATACAAACCAAGAACATTATATTTTGGAATAGTTAGCAAATGAAATTATAAACAAAAAAAATTGAAATAAAGAAAATTGTAAATAAACAATAAATAAAAAGTTACTTATGAGAAAAAGGAGGCTCAAAATCCAAAATTGTCTGAAATTCCTGTTATCAAAACAGGTGAAACCTGAAGCACCAGTTTAAAATCATAGTCCAATGCTGAGACAGGGACAGTGCGGAGTGAAAAAAGGGTGGAAAAATCACGGAACACCAACGTTTGTTACTACCGTTGTTCTCGCCGCCATGACTAAACCGCCGACTCTTCTGCCCGGTGCTGCCACTGGTTGCTGATTGACTGCGTGTAACCTTGTTTGGTGATTGGCTATTCGTGCTATTCTCCCCGTGTGGCCGATTTGGTGTCACTGGTATCCGACCTAACGACAAGTTGCTTCCTGACCTATCACTGCCCTCCAACTGCAATCAGAAAACAAGATCAAACAGTGAAGTATTGGACAAAGTATTTGCTAGTGTGATGGAAAAGTTGAGGTAAAATTTGTTTCACCCAATACAGCCAATATCTGTCTGTATGCTTATTGCAGAACACCACTCTCATAAATATTCCAGCTGAAGGAAGGTGGCCTCTAAACATTAATACCAGGACCAGACAAGCCAATGATTGATATAATGACCAACAAGCAATATCATCCACGATCATTATCAACCAAGTCAGAGAGTGTGACTACCCAATCCATTAAGTCATCATTTGCAACAATCAAAGGCTTCTGCAGACATCTTCTGAACCAAAACCTTGAGTGGATGCAACCTGTTTAGATATTTGCAGCAAATTTTGAGGGGGGGAGACTTTGGTCAATTGCAGCATACCATCATGTTGGCCCTTTGGTATCAAATCAAGGGGTCAAGCGGAGGGTTACCAACAGAAAAGTAATTCCGAAAATAATCGTAAATCAATCGAAAGAAGGATAAAAAATAATTATCGATTGTGAAAAACATTTTCGATTAATCGGGAATTTTCTTGCTTTAGTATAACACACATAAATGTTGTAAACTAACCATTAAATTTTACGAACAACATGTGCTCAACAGCGTAAAGCTATGCGCATTGTATTCATAGTTTCGTATTCATCACTATGGTAAATATTACTGTAACCTGTCTATGAATACATCTATTGTAAACGTAATGAGATATACTGATAAAGTTTTAACCACTCTTATTGTTTAATTACAATTCCAGTGTCTTTCTTGCATGTGTGCATTCACTGCATGACTGTATTAGTTATAAAAAACATTAATGAAAAAACATCTGGGGAAAACCCTTAAAATTGGTGAATACATTAAAAATGTATATATTTCGATTATAATCGATAATCCTTCACCAAAAGTCCTCCAATAATCGATAGTGGACTTGATTTCCGATTCCCAACACCATCCGGAACTACTCACGTCTGACGTCCTGCGTCCCAGCAAGAGGTATGATGCCTGAATATCATCATACTTCTGTAGCCGTAATGACTCCTCTATGTCTTTCCTGTTGTAGCCCATGTTCACCATGATTTCTGAAACAAGAACCACTTAAACTATACTACGTTTGAACCATACTTCTGTGCAGCAAGCAATTTAAAGACAACTTCATTACTTAGTTTCTCTGGGAGTAAACTGTTTGTAATGATGCATAACAACACAGGAACCTGTTACTAGAATACTAAAGACACTCAAAGAATCAAGTGAATTCTTAAGTCATCATTTAGACTCAAAAACAAAATACTGTTTAATCTGTTACACTTGTTACAAGAGTGTGTGCACACAATGAAATCAGAAACATTTACAAAACTTCTTAAAAATAACCTTGCCCACAAGAAACAAAACAAACAGGCATTATCAGGCAAGATAGAGGATGATTAATGACTGTCGTGATGATGGGTCAATGATGTCACTATGAAATGTATGTTGCTCAAAAGAATTTCAAGAACACACAATTCTTTCACATTACTGTAGTCATAGCATGAAATATAAACTGAAGTAATATGAAAGAATCAGGAGTTCTTGAAATTCTCTTGGGTCATACATGTTCTGAACAGGTGCTTGCTGCTAATACTAGTAATTCATGGACTATAATTTCCATCAGGGATGTTTTATGAAATAGAGTTTGCTCAACGTAACAGACATATTTTCAAACAAATTTCCATCATACTGTTGTCATATTTGAAAGGTGTTTTCATATTTTCTATTATTTACTTAAACACCACCAAGAAAAAATTAACAATCATTTTCAGATATTTAACTGTTTTCGGAGATTTAGTCTTTCATGTGAATCATCTAATAACAATCGATAAATGAAAATTCTTTACAGACTTGTATCACCAGATGTTTCAAAAGAAATGTGAGCTGCAAATACCTATTCATAAGAATAGAAAGGTTTGTTTCAATATCCCAAAACAAGTTTACAATTCACAACTGGCACACACAGTGAGGACAAGAAGAAAATACACTTCAGGAAATATGTGCTAAGGGTTTAACACTGCAACACCAGAATATGAGAACTGCAATATATATCACACTTGGGGCCATTAGTCTGTTGAAAGTCTAAAGTGAGTTAGAATAGATCAAGTGTTATGACTGCTTTGTAGATGGGATGATGATGATGATGATGATGATGATGATGATGATGATGATGATGTTGTTGATGATGATGATGATGATGATGATGTTGGGATGGATAGTGGTGTTATCCACATTTCTCTACATCAGCCATTCTACCTTCACTTCAGCTATACATTCCTTGCCACTTGCGAAAATACAGCATGTTTACTTCTCAACTAAATGAATAGCCAATCTTCTAACCTTAAAAAATTCAACATTTCTAATTCATACTTTCGAATTTGCAGTACTGAGCACTTATAACAAAAATAAAAAAACCTTTCAAATGATTAGCTTTCAAATTGAGAAAAGACTCTTAAAACACTTGTAGAAAAATATCTTTGTCAGAATGGTGTTCTGAAGTCAAGGTCATTTGCCTGAAATCACACCTAATTTCAAAAGTTGACAAAAACAAGCTGGATCAGTCAACATGATTAAAAATGAATTGAAATTGATGGGTTAGAATAATATATCTGGATGAAATGTTAAGTTTTCAATACTGTGCACTACAGTGATCTATATATTGAGAAGAAAACAAAGCAGCAAGGCGGAATATTCAAGGGCATGAAACAAGGATTCCACAAATAGGGTACCACCTACAGGTGGCAAAAATATCACCATGGATATACAAAACACATGCAACAACAACAAAATTGTTCCGAAATATACAAATAACGTGCAACAGTTGGAAACAGATGAGAATAAGGTGCCATATTGTTGAGATAGTGTGCATAAGTAAATTTAGCCTAGAAACTGTCTATGTGTGATCTTACATATTTTGAAATATATTGCTGTCACAAATGTAACAAATATTTCTTGATATGCATTCGCACATTTTTTAGATTAATTTTGTGGAAGAGAGGTCAAGAGAATCCTTGTTTGTGTTTCCCCACACAGTGCTAGGCAGAGGTAGCTGCAGCATTGCCATCTTGTCAAACAATAATTGCTCTTGAAAAAATAAATCTATTTAGTGTTCAAGTTTCAATCATGGGGACGAAAATATTTTCAGGAAGTATGCCAAAGCTTTTTACTTTAATTTTCTTCCTTGGGACTTGTAATGCATGGAAAGAAATTAGGCATTGATTACAATGAGACTTGAACTAAATAAACTCTTTTTTCAGCTTTATCAATGATTTGACAAGACCCTAAAGACATAGACACATTTACCTATCCGCTCAGGATCAAGCTGATCCTTTGACGGCTCTTGGTAAGGTTTTAGTTCTCTATCTTCAAAACCAATATTCATCCAGCGGTCTTTCATAATACTCTGATCAAAAAATAAATCATGTTGTGTTTCATTCAAAGCAATACACGTACGGTGTGTTTGACTTGGAAATAGAAGGACATGTGCATATTCGCTGCCATGCTGATGAGGTAACACAGATATAGCAGGTATAGCCGCTGCAGATATAACACAGATATCGCATGTATAGCCACTCAGTGGGATATAACACAGATATCACATGTGTATCTGCTATAGGAATAAATGTGACAGCCAAAATAAGCAATATTTGTGTGTTCAAGCATAGATATGCTTTTAAATGCAAACATGTTGCCAATAAATATACACACAAATGGGTTCGAAATACAACAGTAAAATAGGATTAGCTAGTTTCATGCAAATTTTTAATGGGAACTTATTCTTCCATCCAGAAATATTGTGTCCCCAACACCCCTGACATGCTCCATGCAGCAGTCCCTCCATTTCCAGACCTCCAACAACACTAGTGTGACAACACAGAACTAGCTAACAGCCATGTCCTTGGCTTCATACCTATTCGTACAGGATCGTTAAAATCTTGTGCAGGCTCAATATAAGGTTTAAGTTCATCATCCTCGTAACCTATATTCATCCATCGGTCTTTCATTATGGTCTGTTGCACAAAGGGAAGAAGAGCAAACACATACATGATTAATTGGTCCAAATTAGATCACTATGGCCACAGTTGAATGTCAATCCGTGTATACAGTTTCAAATCTCAAACTCATGCTGAAATCAAATTTCTTATGTTCATGGCAATAAATGCATGAAAAGGAATGTTTCGACAAGAACTTTTGGACATAATGTACGAAAGTTAACATTTGGAATGAGTGACCGAACACGGTGTTGTGCCAGTCAGCAATATTACAGCTACATTGTGGCAGATTGTAAAGTACAAACAAGTGGTCAATAATGCAAGCAACAATCAACACAAGGGACGTTTTTTTAAAAACTTTGCAAACCTTGCGACAATATCGTAGCAACTCCAAAAGATCAGACAGGTCAAGATACAGTCTGGTAACCACATGGCGAGTACAGGTTTACACTTCTTTGTGCAGTCTTTCAGCAACAACACAGTGGGTAATACCCAGAAATCGGCTTCAAACATTGAGCCATGCGTGAGGAACATGGAGCCTTAGTCACCAGTCACTGGTACCAGCCAATCACAAGTAAGATACCTTTAATTGTAGTCAATAGACTGGCAACTGTCCATAACTCTTGAAAATTCAGATAATGCCTTATTAATACATTTACAGATGTTGAAATTTTGAATCTATCATAGCACAAAATTGTTTACATTATTAATTCCTTGACTCACCTCTAAACTGGCCCTTTTTAATGGATTTAAAACTAAAAACTTCTTCAGTAGATTCTCACAGTCTGTTGACATATAGAATGGTATTCTATACTTCCCTCTCAAAACCCGTTCTCGTAGCTCCTGCAAATACAACATCATCATTAATATCCCCTAACTTCCAGGTGCAATCATTCAAAAAAAGTTTCAAGCATTTGGCAATCATTTGAACGAGTTCACAGACAAGAATTTCATTGCCAAAACATTCATTAATATTTTTTGTTTTGTTCAAATACTCCATACAATTTTGGTTATTTGCCACAGAAAGAAATAATTTCTTAAATAAAACTCAAAATTCAATTCCTGAGCATGACCCACAAAACTATCTTAAGACTTATCAGAACCCTGACTTGTTCTACAAAATGACCTTAACCCTAAGATACTGATGCAAATTAACATGACATATCCTCTAGTCTAAGTAGTGAAAAAATAGAGGGTCACTTCTGTAGTCAGGATAACCTTAGCACTCTACAGACAGACTTTAAGACAAAGATTTGTCAAGGTGAGGTGAAATGGGGTTTCACGTCCATGCCGCAGTTAAGCATGAATAGCCACTCAGACACTTTATACTTCAACATTGTTCATCTGAACTCATAGACAGAGAATAACAAAGCCTTTACAACAGGTCAGGTGAGTGATATGGGGTTTAAATTCACACTTAAGAATATTTCGCTCATATGACGACGTGCATGTGTGTGTATGTGTGGCCGCCTGTACTAGCCCAGACCCTCAGCAGGTTTTATAGGGCTAGCTCACTGAGATACCATGCCGTAGGCATGACTCCAAGCCGATCAGACCTTGTTGTACCCATTATTGCCGAGCGCGCCAGGCAGGCACCAACAAATATCATATTTTAATGTCTTTTGGTATGACATGGTGTGGGATCAAACCTGTGACCTTCCGTTCTAACCATTACAACACAGAGGCGGTCAAGATTTGTAAAGAGCATCCCTGGTAAGATGACTGACATCTTACTATAACACAGACATGACCGTTCATCCTTGAAATTGAAGCTAGCCTACTTAGCTACTAAATTTGTGTCGAGGATACAAATAGAATGATGGTAGTCCTCACTGACCATATAGCATTTAAAGGTTATACATTTAAACAGTTCTCAATGCAGAAAATCTTAACACAGTAAACCTCTGTGTCCTGTTCAAGCACAATGGTCCTCTTAACTAGTCACAAAACAATACTGAGCCTGCAGTGTAAGTGCTGGTTACCCTTGACTTACAACTGTTTGTCAATAGCACTTACTTTTAAATTCTGTCCGTCAAATGGCAAGGAGCCACTGACCAGTGTATATAATATGACACCTAAACTCCACACATCAACCTCTGGTCCATCATACTTTTTCCCTGTAAAACAAAAAGTCAAAAGTCAATAAAATAACACCAGTGGCACAGAAATTCTATGAAAACTACTGTCTAATGTCCAATCAAGCAATACAAATGTAAATATGTATACCAAAGCCATGACAGATTAACTGGATCTTGTGTTCTTTAACTTCTCTAAAACAGCCATGGCCATGACAGATTAACTACAATGTAGTTACTAAAATGAAATGCTTTTTCTAACTTCTCTGCTACCACAAAGAGCATTGAAATACATATTTTTTTTAAAAATTAAGAACCATTGTTAGAAGGTATGCAAGTTATTCAGAATTCATCTATGTCAAGATGGCATATGTTCACCAGGTTTCCCAGCATCTTATCTGGAGATGGTCTTACCTTGAAACAACTCTGGTGCAGCGTATGGAGGACTACCACAGAATGTGTCCAATTTGTTTCCAGGAACAAATTCATTGCTAAAACCAAAGTCTGCTATTTTGATATTCATATCTCCATCTAGCAACAAGTTTTCAGCCTGAAATACAGAAGAAACAAACATAAAAAATATGAAAAATTACAAACTTCTTATGACTATCATTTCAGAGAACCTAATAACCTATAAAACAGTCATATTCTGAAGTCCTCGCACTGTGAGAAATCTCATTGTTGTGAGACAGCATGATGTCACCATGGAATGTAATGACACCAAGGATGCTGTAACACACATCAGTGGTAGCTGAACTTGCTCAGTTAATAGAATATGAACAAAACAAAATAAACCTTAAAATACATATTGATCCAACATAATTAATATGGTTTCCATTTCCTCAAGCTGAAAAGCACACTTACAAATTCTGGACAGATAAAATAGAAGAAAATACTTCTCTACAAATATATTCATGAGAAGGGAATATTCACATTTCTTTTTCCTTTTTTCAAATCCCATTCATGGTTTCAACCCATCAGATTGCCACACACTATCCCATTTGTTTTGCAGTACTGTGTAAGCAATACTCACTTTTAAGTCCCTATGTACTATGTGCTTATGGTGACAATACTGCACAGAGGAAACAATCTGAAAAACAAAATAAACATCTTGAAAATCTGTTAACACAATCAACACATTTAAAAAGCCAAACCTTTCTTTCCCTGCAAACATATAATTTCCATGTCATAAGTCAGGGCATTTAATGTAGTGTACTTGAAGCAGTACGTGTGTTGCCTCACAGAGTCAATTCTTCAGAATTTTCCCTGTGTGTAGTTGGGGGCACAGTTGCCAAGTCACCTAATGTGCCACAATATCCAGTGCAGAGTTGTGTCCCTTGGGCCATAAACATATCATGGGTTCAAACCCGGGTACACTGCAAGTGTTTCATCATAGCCATGTTCATGGGTCTCACCTAAATTATAAACGTCTGAGATGTGAAACACTTCAGGTTTTCGTCCCACAATTAGCTGACATGCCATGATGTACCTTGGAAACTGTCGGTGGTGTTCCTCCTAACTCAATCCTGTGTTGTAACTGTGAGCTGTTGAGTGTAACCCAGGGTTGTATAGCTGAGACAACTGTGACCAAAGCTGACATGCAGAACATGTAACCTTGCCTTCACAAACGAGGACTAATGACAAACTGCTTGTTGCAGGGAAATAACTTAATCACCTGAAGACATTCACTTAATGTTTACGTGTGCCCTGGCAGATTTTATTAACAGAAAGACTTTGACTACAAACCATAATATGGGCAAATGGTTAGAAAATTAAAAACTGCCACTGAAATCACGTAACTGCTCAATGGCTTATTATGTTGAGTGAGTGAGTGAGTGAGTGAGTGAGTGAGTGAGTGAGTGAGTTGTTTCTTTTTGAATTGATGCCACTTTCAGCAATATTCCTGCAATATCACAGCAGGGGACTTATCCAGTTCAGAGAAGTGGTTCAATTACAATGCTGTGTTCTCCTTGTACATTCTTGAAAGATTTTTAAGGATATTTTTAAACCAATAGTAAGCTGGCAACACATGAGTGCATCAGACAGCCTGAATGGCCTAAACGGCCTTTACATCTATGCATACCACTTTGAACCAGGGTTTGAGCATGTGGCTAGGTAGGCCATTTACCATTATCATGAAGTAATCATTAGCACTCAATGCCTTAGCTGGTGCTGTCAATGATATTAAATGTTGACATTTTGACTGAAAATTATCCCATATGACAATTCAAAAGTCTGTAATAAAGACTAACCTGGCTGACTGTGAAAGTTTACTCTTAAAGCTGCTCAGCTGTTCTTTTCAACATGATAAGCATGTTCCAAAGGCTTCAGAAAATAAATTTCTTGTCAAGTTGTGTTTTGTAATCCCATATGAACTGATAATCAGGATAATCACTATATGGATACAGCATATGGATTCACTGGACTATCTTGTATTGTGGATGTATGCATGAATGTGGAATTACTGAACAGTTTAAAAGCTGCCAACAGCTGTGACATGACACAGATAGTGGACAGTCTCACAACACCTGGCATCACAGGCATCTTCATGTACTCTTCAGAAGTGAAATACAGGAATCTAAACACTTGATTACGACTTATACGGGAATGAACCCACCTGAATACACAGAATCAAATAGTACCTTTTGATAGGCATTGCGAGGCGACTGAAAGGACAATGTGGACAACCTAATTGAGAGTGCATGTCATTTTATCTCGATTGAACTGATCACTGTTTATGATAACAATCACTGGATTGGCCCAAATACATTTACTTAGATCATTGTTATATAGCTGGCATACAAGGTTAAAAAGAAAAGACAGAATACACAAAAGACAGAATTAAAAAAGTGAAAAAAAACACCCATATACATAAAAAAAGACTAAAATGAGGACCTCGCTCCTGAAACTGTTAAAGGCTACACACAGAAGGAACTGGATTAAGAAGCACCATTTCACGGGAGGAGTGGTGTTATTCCACAACTCAGCTTGGTTCCAAGACATGAACCGGTTTGTATCTAGTGCACTCAACAGTCTTGATTACATATCAAGACACTAGCAGTATGCTGTGTTTGCCACATTAATTCAGATGCGACATGAATCAATGAGGGTTGATTCATCAACTGTGTGCTTGGAATATGGCTTGCAGACCCTCTCCAGGAGGGTTATATCCCACAACAGTGGGTCTTCTCTGAAAAACATGACTCAACTTGTCGATACCCTTATAACAATGGACACAACATGTAGAAACTAACAAACACTTATTGTCAGTAACCCACGTTGTAAACATGAAGTACACAGCAAAGCATCTTGGCGTCATGTCAGATATAAAGTATTTCCATCGTAGATATAACATGGTTATTGTTCAAGATATTTATGCAATAAAACTTCATCCACCTAGATACTGGCCTAATTTCATGCTGAATGGTTTTGTAATCTTAGGGCCATCATTGCCTAACTGTTTCAATGTTCTAATACTAACACAAGGAAATATGATGATGTATACACAATATGAGCCTATCTGCCAAAGATTAAACTAAATTTAAATCCAACTCAAGCAGATCTGATATTATAATTAACCCAAGAGAAAATAAACTCAAACTTTGTATGACCTCAAGACTATGAATCACCATGTGCTCAAACTTAAAAGGCCAATTCATGACACTGTTAGATAAAACATGTAAATGAGTTCAAGGAACTAAAACACTATCACACAGGATCTGTGTATTCAACAGGAGCAGGGTTCAGCTGTACTGGGAAGGCAGTGCAGAGGCGACGGTCTCCCTCTGCAATGTATTATCAATGCCAGCATGTCCTGTGAAAGGTTTGTATTGAATAATAAGCTTTATTCCTTGGTTAAGTGTACACAGCCACTGACAGTAGACTTTGCCTTGCTTCCTACTGGAGCTAGTCGTACACTTAACCAACGAAGCCTAAGCATTATAAATAGACCAGGGTTGTAATAATTAACTGTTGATATTTTTTTATTTAATTCCCTGTCAAAGCCAAGAGCTTTAATTTGTAACTAAGCCTGACACAAGAGCAACTAAATGCACGATAAAGAAGACAGTTCTAATAAATGGTGGAATTGTCTTTCCAGCTGAGAGTAAGAGCAAGTTTCGATTACTGTCAGATCCTCATTAATGGCTTCCGTCCATGTTTGGAAAAATATGGATTTTGTTCAGGGCAAATCTTGGCATTAGTCCCATACATTTCCTGAACAATACATCACCATTAAGCAACAGGCATGAATCACTGATAAACAGGTCAGATCATGTATTAATCACTGAAACAGATGTTAAAGCAGACCCATTTCAGTGTCAAACAAGGGAATCAATACAACTGCATCACAAATCAATACAAACAAAATAATATTATCAACTGTAAAGCTGAAATATGTTTCTTGATCTATCACATATCACAGGGACATCTATCTGAAATCAGGCCATACTCCTTCAGTGAGAGGGACTAGAGCTTCAATATCACGTTAAACAGTATTTCACAAGAATTAAGGCATGCCAGAGGGTTGTTACTGTTGAATAATTGTCAGGTGGTCCTTTACAGGAAGTAAACAACTCTCTCAAAATCTCTCATTAAGGCAGGCCAGCTTAACTTGAGAGGAAAGCCAGAAGGGAGGCATGTTTCCAACGTTTACTACTCCGATGAATCCCTGACCACCCACTTGGTGATGAAAGGGCTACAGTCATACTGTGGGTGTACCAGGATTCGAACCAATCACGTGGGTGTACCAGGATTCGAACCAATCACGTGGGTGTACCAGGATTCGAACCAATCACGTGGGTGTACCAGCATTCAAACCAATCACGTGGGTGTACCAGGATTCGAACCAATCGCAGGTTTCGAGTACCAAAGGCATGCACAGCCAACTGCAACTATGACTGGCACCCACCTCATTAACATAACCAACAGGAACCACTGAGAACCTCAGTCAATGCCAAACACATTTGTGTCTTCAAGTCTCAACCATCATTTTCGGTAGAATTTAGGCTTACTATGTGAAATAATCTTACTAGAATAGAATATATTGTACTAGACATGGGCTATGGACAGTAGCTGATTGGAATCTTGGATCAACAACCCGCCAATACTGCGAAAGGACACCTTTTTTCAGGATGTGCTAAATAAAAAAATATAGTGCTAAATAAAAAAATATTGTGCCAAGTTAACCGCTGAAGAAACATTTCTATTTTCAAAGAGAAACAAATGAACTCTGTTATTTGCCAGAAATAATGTCCAATGGAAGTGATCTTTAGAGTGTTTGCCAAACCTTTCCCAAATGCATTAACTCCAGCGTTATATAGAAGCTCAAAGCTATTAGCAAGAATCATGTCCAATCGGACGCAAAGACCTACAGAGGAACAGTAACATATCAATCACTGATCTTAACCAATACCAGAGCAAAAGACACTACACTTCAAATGTTACAAACTTGCAATGACTTTTCCGAAGAAGAAATTTCTTAATGGCTTTAATTATAATGAAAACTGACATCTTCATATGGCTGTGGCTAGGTAAACAGTATTTGCAGAGTCTAATAATACATGGAATGTCTTAGTGGGATGCCAATCTAAAAAGCACATAGGATTAATATACCTGTGCATCTTCTTGAGTGTCTCTTCAAGTAATTACAGAACTATTATAAAGAGCAACTATTCCAATAACAGGCTGGGTCCAAACATGCCAAGTATCAAGTCATCATTGTACTCTTCAACTTCCTCAATGATTGCAAGTGAACTGTCTGTCCTGTGAAATTGGTTGGTTATATACTCAATTCCAAAAGATACAGCTATTTGTGTTTTGGTGGATGAAACCCAGGGATACATCCTAATACCAACTTTGTCAAACAGATATTTCCTTCATAGACGGCATGAAAAAGTTAACGCTGCATTCGGAAATATTCCAGCTATATGGTGGCGGCATGTTAATAATTGAGTCTGGTACCGACACTCCAGTGATCCATAGCATGACATCGATCTACGCAACTGGGTTGGTTCTGAAAACTCAACATATCAGATCCACCAGATCAATACTACTTTACCAACAACAGTGTTTCTTAAGGTAAAAAATTAC